AGCCTGTGTGAGCTCCTATGTGCACCGCCCTCTTCTGTCTGGTAAACTGTTCTCTTGCAGTCACCCACCACCTCTGGCTCTTACAGTCCTCCTGGCCTCCCTTCCACAGAGATCTCTAGTGACATAAGCTGGCCAGAGATTTCCTTCCTTGTTCAAACCAAAGCAAAGGGTCTGGAATTTTGCTTCCTTAATTAACAGTAACAATGAGAGAAGAGTCCTGAACTCTGAGGTTTCTGAGAGTCTGGCCTTGTCTGAAGAGTTACACCCTGTCAGGATGGATCATGGCCGGTTGATTTCCTCACCCCTACCCACCCTGCACCATCACTGTCTACTGGGTTGAAACTACTTGAAAATGTAAAAGCCAAGGGGTGAATAAAAATCAAAACAAGAAAGAATTCTCTCCAAGGGGAGCAGAGCCATCCCTCAGAATTCTTTCTCTTTTCCTTTTCTTTCTTTCTTAACAAACAAACAACAACAAACCCTTCCAGACCCTTTGTCCTTCCTCCCCTCCTTTGCTTTGACATGTAGATCTTTTAAAAATCTCTCTTCCAGGCTCACCCCATGGAACACAGGCTCTAACTTAGGTTGAAGTCTGGCTGCACAGCTCTTTCCTCCTATTGCAGAACTTCCTTTTGTCCTAAGGACGTGAGAAACTTATTTCCCTCTGGATAAAGACAAAACATAAAACCGGATACAGCTGAATCCCTCTGGAGAGCAGACACAGCTGGTCATTACAGAATTCAGGATAAAGGACAATGACACCCATAAAGGGTGCTACCACATCCTCTTGAGGAAGAGCTATGGCTTCTTGTTAGCCTGTCTGACTCAGTGGCCTAGGCTGTCTTCTAACTCAAGGCAATCCTCCTGCCTCAGCCCCCTGACAAACAAACCACCATGCTCAGCTTGAGCTATATCTTCTCAAATGCTGCAGAAGGCTGTACCTAATTGGTTTTAATCTCTCTCTCTCTCTCTCTCTCTCTCTCTCTCTCTCTCTCTCTCTCTCTCTCTCTCTCTCTCCAGTCTTTCAGTGTGTCACCTCCCCAGACCCTTGAAAACCTAGTGCTCATAATCTAAAGTCAAGTACACTTCTCTGCCAACAGAAAGCATCATGGGGAATTCTCTGAGATGAGAACCTGTATAAGCCAGAGCTGTGATTTATGCTCAAGGCTCAATACTTAACAGGTGCCATCAGGTAAAGAAATGCGTCACCCTGCTCCCAGCCCATCTGAACTTCCCATAGGCCAGAAACTCCACAATGACCATCTATAGCCCTGTCATATACCAGAGTCAGTGAATTCTATCTTATGATTTTGTTCTGAAAACCACCGAATTCTGTACAGCCCCAGGTAGCTCATACCTTTCCCATAACACATCCCAAGACACTGCTGTCGGTCGGTCAACAGCTTGAGTTCACTACTCACATGAACACTCCCCTTGTCAGCTGAACCTTACAGGAGAGGGTGCGGTTTCCTGGACTCTTGTACACTAACCTGCCCTGGGACTCCAGTACCTGGACATAAAGGAACAGGGGAGGGGCAGATGGGTGCGGTGGATACCAGTGAAAATGTTTGTGCTTATTTTTAGTTGTTTGAGGGAGCGCAGGCACACACTGGTGCCACAGGGCACCTGTGGAGGTCGGAGGACAACTTTCTGAAGTAATTTCTACCCTTCTACTTGGTGCGAACAGCCTCTTATTTTGGCCGCACCGTGGGCTGGCTGGCCCCATAGCTTCTGGCCAGCTCTCCCTTCTCCACCGGCTGCCTCACTGTGTGCACGGCTGGCATTACAGATGCAGGCCAGCATCTCCAGCTTTTCACTGAGTTCTGGGACTCAAAGTCGAGCTTGTGCATCAGTTGCTTGGCCCCGAGTCATAGCTGCCAGCCTGGTACCCGAAATAAGGAAGACAAAAAGACTGTCTCTCAGAAAGCAGCTCCCTGAGCTGCGTTCTCACTGCTGGGTAAAATAAAGTGTCGTGATAAATCGGCTTGGCTGCTTTCAGACGAGAATGTTCATTGGGTGCCTTTGCTTCTGCCTTCTTGTCCCTGAGTAATGCCTGCCCCTTGTCAGCCGCTGCTGCGTGCACACTGCCTGCCGATCTCCCATGGCCTCTGCACCCACACTGTGGGAAATTAGCAGAATTTTCCTGTTGGAGGAGAAATCCCCGTCCATTCTCAATCTCCCCACTGTGTGTGCTCTGCAGGCTTAACAGCCACATGGCTTCACGTCCATCACACCCCTCCCCTCCCCTCCCCTTTCGTCTCCTAGGTTGTTGTCAGTCTCTCCGGTTTGGTCTGTGATTCATTTTCCGGTCTCCATCTCATGCTCCCTGTCTCACCTCTGGGCATTTGTTCATACCTACCAACAAATTGGTCTCTTAGTGGGACATAGGTCTCCTGTAGTCTGTCTGATTTTTCAGAAAATGATTCAGAAAACGTCCCTGTTGGGGTTGCTGAGTTTGGTTGTGACAGCCACATTGTACACATGCAAGGGGCACTGAGAACCAAGTCAGGTTCTAACTGAAATCCTTCAAAACAGAACAGACCCCTAATGCAGTCTTATATTTGAATAATTCTTGGGGGGGGCACAGTGGTATTTTTGTTTTGTGAAAGCATGAACGTAGAAATCGAAGCACAATTCTCTGGGTTGATTTTGGAGAGACTTCCAGCAATCAGTACGGGCTTGTGTCCAAAGCATGGGACTGCAGCATTATACAGAGGGTTCTAGGGGGGATATGACCTCCCCATCTCCCCACTGGCTGAAAAATCCAAGAGCTGACACAGACAAAGGGAGCCATCTGGGGAGAGTTAGCTATAAGGCAAACGTATGACTCTGGGCAGCTCGTGTAACTTTAATAAAAATTCCAGTGGCCTGTCAATAACAGCACAGGGAACACAAGAGGAAATATGGGCATGCAAGAAACCTGGACATGATGAGTGTCTGCAGAGGATAGTCATGGTGGGGAAGCTCAGTTTCATCAACACTGACACCATATCCTTCACATTCAAATCTCGGACCTTCAGTAGAAACAGAGTTCTATGACTTGAAGAATTTTCATAAGGACTAGGCCATAGCTTACAGTGATAAGAACAGTTCCTAAGAGATGGTCATGAGAGGGCTGCCCTTCTCTGGATGCAAGGAAAGAGATGGAGAAGAGTTCAGTGGGAAGAAGAGGTGGAGGGGTGAATGAGGAGGTGGACAGGAGGAGCAGGAAAGAGGAAGAGAAGGGGGACAGAGGAGGAGAGGGAGATGTCTTAAGATATTCTGAAAATGTGAAAAGAATTGATGGGCTTTTATGAAGAGGTCCAAGAAGAGCCATTTTTTTCTTTGCAAAATAAAATTGTGAGAGACAAAATAGCAGAAGCCCTATGCGTAGCACATAAGCCATGCCATGCTTTCAATTCAGTCCATGACCAGTCCTGTGTCCAGAAGGGTGATAAAAATGCAGTGTGCCACCATGGAACACCTATGGAGATTTGGGGGGTTTCCTGAGATACTGGGGTAAGCAAGAACTGACTTGACCCACTTAAGAGTTAAACCTGGCCATATCTAGCTAGCAGAAAATGTGTACCCCAGATGAACTGTTCAACAGGAGTGCCAAGGGGTACCTATGAGGATTATCTTACAGCATTCTTTATTGTGGAAAAAAATGATTCCACAACAGTTTGGATGTCTATTAATAAAAAATGAACAAGACGCTGTGAAAATGGCATATATGTAGAAGTTTAACATGCAAAAACAGGACTGAGAATTATCTAAATTATTGCATATTTGGATGTAAATACATATGCAAATACTCAAACACATAAAAGCGTCAAAATACTGATCGCTGTGAAGGACAGAATGAGAGAATGAGATAGGAGTTTGGGAGAAAAAAAAAAAAAAACCGAAACCCATGAAGTACATCTGTGATGTTTTAGTTTTTAACCAGATGGTGCAACTGGGGGAGACCAGCAAACCATTTATGCTTGTTCGGTGCAAATGGCGGATACTTGATTTTATTCTATGTTTTTTTAAGATTTATTGTTCCTATTTATCTATTTTTTTTAATTCTATTTTTTTATGTGCATTCCTTCAAGTACGAATATGGTTTAAAACTATAAGCTTTTAAAACCCAGCTGACTAACATGAGCCAAGAGTTCACGCAGGGGTGGCTGGTGTCACAGGCTAGCCCTTTCTACTGAATGCTTCTCTTTTCATCCCACCAAAAACCAGCGACACAACATTACACCACTTTTAGACAGGATATTTATGCCGTGGTTGCTCCAGTTTCTGGCTGAATGTGCTAAAATATAAAAACCATGATTTTTGGCAGAGCAAGACCTCAGAGCCAAACAGGGAAGATGCTTGATTAAACTCCCAGGGGGAATTTGATCTTGTCCTGAATGTTGGTTCTTTCCATCATGGTACATGGTATACACACTCTCTCCAGGCATGTGTGGGGCAGAAGCCTTGTCAGCCCCTCCTGTCCTCCTTCCTCTCAGGCCAGCCCTTGGAGGAGTGGCCATCCTCCATTCCATCCCCTCAGGGAAGCATGTTGTATTTGCCTCTTTGCCTCTGGGACATTTCTGCACCCTGGAAATGCCTGGTTCTTCAAACAAACCAATGTTATTCATAGCAGAGCAATTATTTTCTCTATCCTGGCAGGTTCATCTATATGGTTCAGTTTTTGTTTGTTTGTGTGTTTTTTAAGTCTAGTCCTTGCCCATAGAAGAATGCTTCCCACGTTTTACACTTTCAGCTTGGTGGAGATAATCAATCCATCTGTAGCAGAACATCTGCTTTCCCATGAGTGAGGAAAAGCAACAGCACACTATGCTGCCACGACCCTGCCTCACTCCGGCGAGTTACTTACAGATGTGTGAAAGTAAAACACGCTGGGAGAGTTAGCGATGGGAATGACCGTGTGCAGACCGTTATCCCGAGTCACCTGAGTCCAAGTGTCTGACCAGTTCCCATGTGGACCTGACTTTAACTTTTAGCCTAGTTTGGTTCCAGAGAGAATGGAAGGCCTTCAGAAGAACACATACGGAACTATAGTTGAAGGTAAGAAAGCACCAAGGTCCTAAAGAGATTGAGAAGGGGAGGGAGTCACTGTCCCTCATCCCACCACACAAAAGGTTCCGACATTCAGTTAAGATGGAGAAGAAAGAGGCAGCTGCTGTTTTTCCCCTTGTCTCCAATCTCTTACATAAAGCTGTTGTTGTTTTCATGTACACATACACAGACATACACACACACACACACACACACACACACACACACACACACACACACACTCCACTGTGTCACTCTCCTCCACACAATATGGGGAAACTTGACTCTGACATGCATTTAGAATTAGAAGGTCTGGAACTAAATAGTGACATAGTTTCTCTTTCTTCTCATCTGAAAAGAAAAAAGAAATGAAAGAAAGAAAAAGAAGGTCCCCTAAAGTGATTATTTCCCCCAAAACACTAAGGGAAAGGAAACACCAGCACAGAGTAAAAGGAATAACATAGATTTTTGTTTTCTGTGATACTGAGAATTGAACCCTGGGCCTCATTTGTGTCAAATGGGCATTCTACCACTGAGCCACACCCCATCTTTCCCCCAAATGATAGATTTTTAGGTGTCTACAGTGCACTTAGAATTCATTTGGACTCATAAGACAGCCCCAGATCCTCATCAAATCTCAATGCTGGATATTTGAGCTCTTGGCTTCATGGTGTCCCTCCAGCATTCCTTTTGTTAAGGGCCCTGGACCACACCCGGCTGTAGATGAAATTCTAAATAGTCTTATTAACTAAGAAACACAGAGCCAAATGCAGATTTAAAAGCCCAGAGATCAAAGCAGTCGCCAAGAGCTAAGACCACCTTATCTTACCACTCACTGCTATCCTTCCCCTCAGAGAGAGAGAGAGACCTTCTCCTATGTCCTGTCCTTTTATTGCCTTTCTGTTCTGCCTTCTCATTGGCTCTAAACCCAACCACATGATTTCCTTGTCACTGCCTGTCTATACAGATCTCCAAGTCTCTGTGGTTGGTACTGGGATTAAAAGTTCAGATCACCTTGCTTTGGATGTGTCCTTGACCACACAGAAACTCTGCCTGCCATGTGATCGGATTAAGGGCGTGTGCTACCACTGCCTGACTCCTGCTTATGGCTCTCTGCGACTTCTGATCTCCAGGCAACTTTATTAACATACAAATAAAATCACATTCCAGCACAAATAACATATCACTATACCCGGACAAATAGATGACCTTTTCAGCATGTGTACTCCTAAGAGTTTCTAACCATCTTCTCTTCTTCCCTTCTTCAGAGGCCCACTCTGTATCATTTCCCAACTTTGACCTGGTATTAACTGTCATCATCCCTCGTCTCAAATCCCACTTTGCTTCCTAGGCTATCAGCTGGTCCCGAGTGTGAGTCACTACAGCTCTTCCACCTGAAATAACCCCTGGGGACATACGCTGAGCACACTTACACAGCATGTCTGGAACATTGTGGGTAAAAGAGGTGACTCTGTTTTGTCACTTATGACTTCTCATCTCTGCCTCTTCTAAACTCAAACTTATTTCACAGCCAGTTTTCTGGGGAGATGCCCTGAGTGTCCTCCAGGGGAGAGCACAGGGACCCTTAATTCAGAAATGACATATTTGTTGTGGGACAGATGGAACAGAGCCTCTCTCTCCTGTGGCAGTCCTACCCACTGCCCATGTGTTCTAAAATGGGCTCCCAACAGGGACTTCATGGAAGCCAAGAACCACCTAAAATTATAGGCAAACAGTTGGGAACATTTGAATAACACCTGTTTTTCTGGGACTGAGGACCACTGATTTCAGAAGATATCTGCAAGGACCCATGATGTCAAAGTCCAAAGAATAGCTAAGTGAGGCATAAACCTTCTCTTGTCCACAGGAACCCGGGGAGTCTACCATGCAGCAGAATCATACTGGCTGAGGATCCTCCTGGTGGGCAAATCTGGCTGTGGGAAAAGTGCCACAAAGAACAGCATCCTCTGCCAACAAGCATTCGAGTCCAGGCTCAGAGCTCAGTCGGTGACCAGGATCAGTCAGGCAGAGATAGGCACATGGAACGGAAAGAGCTTCCTAGTGGTAGACACACCCCCCATCTTTGAGTCAAAGGCTCAGAACCAAGACATGGACAAGGACATTGGAGACTGCTACCTGCTGTGTGCCCCAGGACCCCACGTGCTGCTGCTGGTGACCCAGCTGGGACGCTTCACAGCCCAGGACACCATGGCTGTGAGGAGGGTGAAGGAGATCTTTGGGGCTGGAGTCATGAAGCACATGATCATCTTCTTCACCCACAAGGAAGACCTGACAGATGAGACCTTGGATGGGTTTGTGACCCACACTGACAACCGCAGCCTGTGCAGCCTGGTTCAGGAGTGTGGGAGGAGGTACTGTGCCTTTAATAACAGGGCCTCAGGGGAAGAGCAGCAGGGACAGCTGGCAGAGCTCATGACCTTGGTGAGGAGGCTGGAACAAGAGTTGGAGCATTGCTCTTTCTACAGCAATGACCTCTTCCTTCATGCCTGTGTGTTCCTTAGTGGTGACAAGAGTGAGGATCAGGAAGCCTATAGGTGCTACCTGTCGAAGGTGAGGCAGGAGGTGGAGAGGCAAAAGCAGAAACTGAAGGAGCAGGAGGTGAGCTGGGTAGCTAAGATGCTTTACAGAGTCAAGACATGCATGGGCCCCCACATTTTCCTTATTGTGTGTGGTTTGATTTTGACCGCCATTTTAATTAACTTGTCTATTACCCAGGGGAACTGAGCCTTTTCAGGTGATTTCTGCCATCAGCCCCCTCCTGCAATGATCACAATCTCTGTTCTGGGGCAACTCAGTTTCACTCTCATTTGACTCCCTTGCATCAGACATGCCAGGATTTTTCTTCTAAATACCATTATGTAAATAAAGTATGAAAGAAAAATGTATTTCTTGCCCATGACCATGTCTGAGCAAAGCAGATGACAACAAATATTCAGGTGTCAGCCTACCAGAAGTTCAGCTCTCTGATGGGAACGTCTCATTCAAGCAAGGCTTATGAGAATACAGACTCCAGAATGTCTTTTGCTTATGCTGTGCCTTCATATTGTTGCTGCTACATGCTCTTCTCTTGTATCTGATATGATGTATTTATACGTGGGGAGTCCCCCATTGCCTGTATTGTAGTGTGTCTATCTCATGTTTGCATCTCAATTTAATGGGCATTTATCTGTGGATTGTCAGGAAGATGTTGTATAATTTTGACACAGTCAGGGTCTATTGAGTTCCACTAAAAAACTTTTTTGTCACAGCTCATATTTATGATTTAGAAAAACATTTGAGTCCAAGAGCCAGTCACAAGTTTCTTGTGCATCATAAGGTGATATTAGGGTTGAAAAGAGCTCTAGATGAGACCAGATGCCTTACTAATGGTTTTTTAGATAATCATTCCCAATCTTTTAGTTCACAAGGCCACACGACTGTTTGGCTAGGTTGTAAATAAAAAGCCCAATTATTGCTAGCTTACAAATGACTAAGACCTTGCACCATTCCTAACCTCAGTTTGTGAAAATATGTTCTGATTAGTCAAGGCTACAGAAAATAACTTAACTCTGCAGTCCCTAATGAGGGCTGTAGGTGTTCTTAGATAATTAGAAGTTACACGCAATCTTTACCTTTGGAATGTGACCTTTTTATGACTCTTATATTGCCTGAAATAATTACTTGGGATATGTAAACTGTAAAAAGACAAGATAAAGTGGAGCAACAAGGGACAACAACATGAGTGTAACAGCATGTGAGAAGCCAATATGAGAGACTAAGGAAGACTCAACATGACAGAAAAAAGAAAGTAACCAACAGAATGCATGTGAATTCATTCCATTCCTAAAAACCCCCCTCAGATAAATGTCCTGAGTTTTACTATGCAGTGGCTTTCTCTTTGAGCCCTGTTCTGCAGCCCTGGAGTGGGTCTCATAGGCTGTAATAATATCTTCCTTTATGTTGTGAGGGTAAATGGTAAATCACATATTTACCTCATAAAGACCTGGGGACTTGCAAAAAGGAAGGTACTTGTGCTGCATGGCAATGGGTATGTCTCACCTAGTGCCCCACTTCCTACAAATGGAGAAACATGCAAAGCTAAGAACAGAATCTTATTTTAGTCATAAATACACCCTGCTCTCACTATAGCAGTAAAAGTCAGATCTCCATCATCTCTCTACCCCCAAGAAGGATAAGGACAGTGTGCATGAAGTAGGGGAGACTCTCAAGGTATAGAAGAGAAGAGTCAAGAGGTCTGGACATGAGTGGAGAACTGAGTGAAGAGGTTCCAGGAGCAGGGTGGGTCTCACCCCAGGGAAAGCAAGGTCAGCAGTCAAGAAACATAGGAAGCAGAAAGTCTAAGATCAGTAATACAAAGGGCCAGAGGATGGGTATCTTGGGCTTGGAAGACCTTATAGTGGACATCACAGGCACTCAACAGTACATGCAGGCAAAAGTCACTATAATCAAGAGGCCATGTGTTCATAAACCTTGATGAGCACTGAATTTTGAATTCCATGTAATTTTCATGTGAAGCTAGAATACTATTTTCCTGAATTCTTCAGCCACTAAAAAAGGTAAAAATAAGTTGCTGTGGGATATCTTTCTGTATGCTGATAATATGTGTTCCTCTCACTGGTTGATAAATAAAGCTGCTTTGGCCCATGGCAAGGCAGGATAGAAACAAGTGGGATATCCAAGCAGAGTTACAAGAGAAGAAGGGCAGAATCTAGGAGATGCCAGCCAGCTGCCCAAGGAGCAACATGCCAGAGGACTGGTAATGCCACAGTTATGTGGCAATACATAGACTAATAGAAATGGGTTGACTTAAATATAACAAGTAGCTAGTAATAAGCCTAAGCCATCAGCCACACATTTATAATTAATATAAAACTCTGAATGATTATTTGGGAACTAGTGGGTGAGGAGACTCATCTGTTTACATTTGGTGCCCAATATGGGGCAAGAATTTCCATACAAACCCTGAGATGGCTTTAAGAAAAGCTTCTAAAATGGAGCCAAGAGCAGCTCCCTAGTTCATGTCTCTTATTGCAGACCACAGTACAGAACATGCAGAAAAAAATCCCCTGGCTGTAGTAGGACTCAGCTGAACATCACGAACTCCCACGGTATCTCATGGGCCATGTTACAAACAGGCTTCTCCCAACTGCTACCTATGGGTTTGAGAGTATAGTTGTGGGCTTAAGAACACAGTTACATGCTACTTAATACTGTGTCCCAGAGTTGGGGAGGTAAATGTGACTCTTGTTGGTACCTCCACCATGTTGAAAAGGTGAGCTGGGTGGAGTCAGCCACCAAAGCTGCTGCTTTGGTCCTACCCATGCCTGTTGAGCAATTTAAACACTGTTCTGGTAAAAAAGGATTACAGATCCACAACAGAAACGGATTCAAATTAAAAAACAAAACTCCAAATGGGTCACAGTGTGTTTTAAAAAATGTGCATAGGCTTGGGAGAGTGAAGAGAAAGGGTATAGATAGTCATAAAAATATAATAAAGTCTTTAAAGAGAGAAATAAAATATTAAAAACAAAGAGATTGGAAATACACAGGGTTTCTGAATCCTGTATGTTATTGTGTTGATTTTTAATTTTTTGATTGTTGAGAAGCAAAAGACAGCTGCTAAAAGACATGGAAATGTGACTTGGACTGTTAAATTGAACCAATCTAGATACTTCAGAAATGCCTTAACTTAATAAAAAGTCAAAAAATATTTTTTGTCAAATGGAAATAAAAAGTGCTTTTGAGTTTTGTTCCCACAGGAGATAAGAGAGTATAGATTCCTTCAGGAATAATATAGATCAGGTTTGAACAATGGAGACCTCCTGAATCTTGACAGGTGATATCTATCAACAAACGTTACTTCTGATCTACCCAGGAATTGATCATTATCTCAGAATTTATTTAGGGACCCCTTGGGATGCCTTCACTCACACACAGCAGGAAACAGTATGGAAAAAAGTATGCACACATTCCCAGGAGTTAGGGGATGTGTGTGTGGTCTTTGGTTATTTGATGGGTTATGGATATTTGTTATAATTTAGAGAAATATAAGAATATAGAATAAAAAGACAGCTATTAATCACAGATATTTTGCATTGACATGGATTTTGGTACAATGATACAAATTTAAAGTTAATTTTGTTACACTATTATGGTGATATTTTATTTGTACTGAAATGTGATTTTATTTGTATGTTAATAAATAAAGTTGCCTGGGGGTCAGAGCTAATAGCAAGCCATAGCAGAAGCCAGGTGGTGGTGGCGCACACCTTTATTCCCAATCACATTACAGACAGATCACTGCGTGTTCAAGGATACAGCCAGCATGGAGACACACTCCTTTAATCTCAATACCAACCATAGAAGACCTGGAGGTCTGTATAGACAGGCAATAACGAGGAGGTCATGTGGTTGGGTTTACAACCAATGAGAAGGCAGAACAGAAAGTCAATAAAAAGACAGATACACAGGAAGTAGGTCTCTTTCTGAGGGAAAGGGCGGTAGTGGCAGGAAGGGTAAGAAAAAGGGTTTTTAATATTAGCTCTTAGCTACTGCTCTGACCTCTTGGACTTTTAACTCTGCATTTGGCTCTGTGTTTCTTATTTAATAAGACTGTTACATCTACATTTGGTGCCCAACGTGGCAAAAATTCATTAAAAACTTGCTTGGCTGGCCTTGGCTCGGTGGCCTGGCCCAGCTCTTCGCTTCCGTGGGCCCAGCTCCCTGCCTGGGCCTAGCTCAGCGTAGGCCCAAGGCCTGACCAACCGTACCTACAAGTGTTACCCACATCTGATGCTATGAACAAGTCAGGCCTGCCGGAGCTACTGTTCAGCTGCACTCAACTGTAATTGCAACAGCTACATGGAAACACCAACGCATGTGGTCGAAGCTTAAGGAAGCTGGAGCCCAGGCTCTACTTGACTCAAGCGGGAGAGCGTGGCTGGATTTAAGCTTTTAGCCAGAACTCGTGGCTACGTTTTCTTGCTCTCTCTCTCTCTCTCTCTCTCTCTCTCTCTCTCTCTCTCTGTCTCTGTCTCTGTCTCTCTCTCTCTCTCTCTCTCTCTCTCTCTCTCTCTCTCTCTCTCTCTCTCTCTGTATTCACACCTCGGACACTAGGTAGCTGTTTTGAAATATCCTCAGATTCTACTGTTCTACGCAGACTTGGTAATTCAATTAAGATATCAGATATTTTAAAAGGGAAAAGCTATTTAAAAGAAAAATTTTTTTCCACATTTAAAAAAAATGGGTTTGATGTGTACATTAGAAGAAAATTGGACTTTGTTTGATAAAATTTTAGGCAGTCTCAAAATGGAACAACTATATGAGAAGATTAATGTTGATGGGATTATACACATTATTACTTTCCTTATCCTTTTTTTACTATTTAAAAAGATAGTCAATTTATGTGTCAGGATAAAAGCTTTAGAAAAACCTGTTAAACCTGTTTAAATGAATTATAGAGAAATTCAGATTCAGACAGAAGAATTTAGCAGTGAAAATATTTCAGGATTGGATTATAAGGTTACCGAAAGAAAGCCTATTTTCATACAATCACCCTTAATTTATCTGGTAACCGTACAGCAGCTACCTGGTCAAGTGAATGCACAAAATATTTGGACTCCAATTGAAATGTTAGATTTACGAAGGTTTAAGGAGGCAATAGTATCTTATGGCATGTATTCCCCATTTGTAAAGCAAATGTTAAACTCCTGGTCAACTTATAA